CCGCCTAGGTGTTTGTTTGCCGTGCCGAGTTGCAGTTCCCATCCTGGCGTGCATGCACGAATCGTCGGCCGGCATCCGTGCATCGCATCGCCTGTTTCCGTTCGACCTGTGTGCTTCTCGGAGCAATCCTGCCGCTCTCCCAGATTGGGCATCATGAGGATCAACGATTCGGATGCTCCTGGTTCAACCGTGACTCGCAGACACGGGAAGGTGACTCCATGTGGCGGGTGTTACCAGCCACGAATGCTGCCGTGGGCAGCGGCCTAAACATCGGACCATATTTGAACGGAACGTTCAAAGACGTCAGTGCTGCTGCGATGGCGACGTACATGCTTGGGCCGGCTTCCTGTAATGATGGATGACGCACTTGGATCGTAGAAATCGTGGCGACTATTCAAGCCAGTGCAGCGACGACCTCCTGGTATTCTTCTATTCAAGGGCACTTGCAGGAAGGCATATGGCTAGGCAGACCTTTCACGGCCATCGCCCACACACCCCTGAATTGTCACGCTAGTTATGTCTTTTTGCGTATTTCAAAGGTAAAAGGCACCAATACGACCTCTTATCGCAGTTATGTGCACCATAGCTGTTGAAAGGCATACTCTTTACTGCTTGCCGTTACCCGTTTGCAGACGAGTGGTTCCATGATCGCTAATTGCCGCGCCTGAGCTGCGGACTTGTTCAGATGTTTGTGGTAACGTCATACAAGGTGTCAAGTTAAAAGATAGAACTTCTCGCAAAAATCCCGTGACGTGCCTTTAAATGCGATGCCCGATAATCTGCAATACTACTTGACGGCCCGCTGACGAGGCCCAGATTCCGCCTTGTCTGGCCCACCGCGGCTCCGTCATAACAACACCGCCGCACCACATTTCTCGTAGCTGGCATTCGGCCAGCGCCAGGCTCAGATAAAGCCCTCAGGCTCAGGCCCCCCGCCTTGATCGCGCTCTTTGGCCGGGCGATCCGGCTTGGCATCCGCCTCACTCTGACGTCACGGGGGCCGTGCCCACCGCGCCCCGCCCCCCACAGCCCGAGCAACACGCCCCGCACGGCGCCGGGGCCGGAGTGCCGCTAACGAGCTCACGCCCGAACCGACGCTCAGCCTGCCCGCGCGCGCGGCGTGCCCCGTGCAACTGACGGGGCTCGGGGCGGCGCCGACAGGCGGGAGCCGTTCTAATGACCACCCGTGGTCACGGCTGCACAGACCAGAGTCATTAGCCGGGATAGAAGACAGTTGTAATGCAATCATGAGCTGGGCTGCAGACACTGGTGGCTGCGTGTAGGGGCGCTGAGCAATGTCTGCAATGCGCCGATCGCGCAGATAACAGTCTAGAAATCGGGCAAATCACTACAGGAAACTTTTGAATAAGAGCTGCCGCCTTAGCTTGTGACGCTTTATCGCCGCTCGAGTTTCCCGCCTGCGATGTTGCCATCGTGATGTTCCCAGCGATATTCAGCCGAGGCTCAACGACCACACAGTTCTGAGCTCACTGAGGTCCGCCCGCTCTGGGGTCACGCCGACATCCTTACCTCGTTGGAGACGTCGCCGAGATGGTGGACCTCCTCCTCCTCCCGGCCCGACTCCTTCTCCTCGTGCGTGCTGGTCACGTTGACGAAGCGCTCCGAGACGACGGCGTTCCCTGGCGGCGTCGCCTGGCTCCCGCCCGGATGCTTCTCGCCGTGCTTGCGATGCTGAAAACGAGGCCAACGTCAACAGGTCAGCATTCCTTTCCCAGGAGGCCCGACGCCTTTCCTTTGGCACCGAGTTGCCGTGTCTGTCACACCAAGGACGTACACTCGGCACTCCTCTCTCGACGGCAAACTTATTTTACTGCCAAACGTAGGCCGCTAGCATGTGAAAGAACGATATCGGAGATGTAAAAGCTTGTTTCACTGGTAGCCTGGAAAAGGCTTCACCAGCCTACGATGTCCCGGGATAAATATAATTCCATTAATTATGCGTTATTTTTCATGACTATCCATGGATGAAACAACTGAATGGAATTAACTTGCGCTGCAAATGACGCAATATACCGGGGCGTGAAGCTCTCAGACCGGGCCACCGCATTACCAGCACGTGTGCTGTCTCGTTAAGCCGCAGAGCTCGGCCAGTTCATGCACGACCTGCAAGCAAATTGCCCCAACGAGGCCCGGCAGCCGGTCTAAAAGCGCTACACCACAAAACAATCCGACGTCATTTGAACTGTTACGGAGCAATGCCATAGCCAGCAACAAGATCGTGCCGTAAGGCTCTGGTGAATTTACTGTCGTGCTTTGGGGATGTAGATGGAACAATCAGCTGACGTATCTCATGTTATAGCGACGGGACCTGTAAAATACGCCTTCACCGTCATAACATACGGTCATGTGTGAATCTCATTATCCTCGGCATACCATTTGCGGCGCGCCCGAGCGGCTATTAGAGGCATGTTCGGAAGGCACTATTGGGGCCAGGGAAACATTACCGCGCCAGGGCTTGTTAGCTTTCTAACACCGACGGGAGGCCGATCGATCGTCTCTAAAGTGACGGAAACAAAGAAGCTGGCGAAATTATCTCCAGCCAATCCGAACTGTCTCTGGAGCGGCTCTATGCACTAAATGAGCTGCGTCATTCGCAGCGAAAAGTCTTAAGTCACCGATGGGGCCAGCTTATCGATTAGTCAGCGCCAGAGCTGGTTCATCGATTAACTGTCAGTATTGCGTGCCCACACTAACAGATGTGAGCACCGATAGGTTAATCGGAAGCAGCCGACAGCCGCGTGTCCATACCAGGATGGGGTCGGCGTGCAGAGAGCTCACTCACCCGGCCTGCTCGCCGGCGAGATGTTGTCAAGATTGCGCCGAGATATGGGCCGGATAGGGCTGAACCGCGCTCCAGCCTACACAGACCGATCGCAGCTCGGCTGGCAATCAGCGACGCGACGCTATCGCCCCACGCACGCATCCCGGCTGCGCGCCGCCCCACGTGCAGACGTCTCCACGTCCGCTGCAGAGACGCCTGTCGGCAGGCGCACGCTTCCGCCCTGACAGCGCCGGCGCGGGCCGCAGGTCAGCAGCCGGCCTGCTGAGGGCCCGCCGCGGCCGTCCGCCGCCTCTCGCGCGCCCCGTGAGCACCTCTCGCGGCTGGGAGCGGCGGGCGCGCCCAGCCGACGGCCACCATCGCCGCCCATCGGCCATCAATTACCGGGTAACGGGAGCGGGGCGCCGGGCGCGGCCCGCCCGCCTCCGCGCCGCGCGCCGTCGCCGTCAAATGGCACCGGCGCCCGGCCACACGACGACGGCCCGCCCGCGCGCCGGCCGACCCTCGCTGAGTGCTCATCTGCTGGTGGAGCGTCGCCCTGACCGGGGGAAGGGGAGGGGGGGGGGAGGGGAGGGGACCGGGTGGTGCGAGGTAGTCTCGACCCTGAATGGCGTGCCGCTCTCAGCAGCGGATCGCTTCTGAGAAGGAGGCGCCGTGCTCGGGCCCGTCCCCGCCGGCGTGCTGTGGTGTTTATTCTACCGTGATGAGTGGCGGAGAGTTTGCCGAGCCCGAGAGGCTCGGCGGCGAGCCGGCTGTCTCTGCTCCGTCGCCTCACGCATTCTCAACGCGGGAGGTGTTTGGACGCTGGGTTCCCAACGTGAATGGATGTGGACGATGAATCGTGTCAAGCGTCTCAATGAGCTGAATTTATGCCAGTCATATGAAAGCCTGACGACGGCTATTCATCCTGAGTTATTGCGGGTTCGCGTCTTGGGAGGGTGGTCAGCGCCCATCATATGGATGTATATGCGACACTAATTATACAAAACTGAGGTAGAACCAAAATGCTACCACTCTATGGTGTTCCATCCGCATGGCAAGAGGTGGGCATACCTAGGTCGGTTTAGGTCAGTTCAAAACAACACACGACGGTGACCACTTCAAACCCGACCCCGGGAAGTCTCGTTGCTAACGCACAAAGTAAACAACGCCGCTTACATTACACAACGTCTGTATTTATACAGCTCGTCGCGCGTACAAATGAGTGGAATGTGCGAATGCCACGGTACGTTTGTACAGCGCGCCGAGAGCCTGAAAGAAGCAGTGTGTGGACGGCTGGACGTAGCGGATCATTCAGAATGGCGCGTTGGGTCTGTTATGATAGAGCTGTCGTGAGCGTCCAGGTGCTATCCGGTAATGCCCCATGCGGTTGAATGGTACACGTAACCAAGCTTGGTTTTTTCTTCGCATAAAGTTCAAAGGCTGTCATGTGGCCTTCATGAGTTTGTGAGTTCAGTAAGGATACCGCAGCGATAAAAAATGTTCCTCTTTTACCTGGTAAAAACGCTTGTTACAACAAAAGGAAGATCTTAACTGTGCAACACCTCTTACTTCCAGTTAATTCTATCAAAAACGCCACAATCACTTGATTCCGGTTTGTACAGTATCTCCTCAAACACGCTCTACGCTTTCCAAACTGCTTCCAACATTCAGACTTGGCGTTAGATCGACCGAGTGCCAACTCGTCGCCCATGATATCTATGTTTGGGAAACGGTAGAGCTCCCGGCTTACTTGAAAAAACGGGCACATTCTTTTTGTGACACACTGGGCGCTATCGCAGCGTTGGCGACTTCTGACCATTTATAACCGGTGTGGGAGGGCGGGCCGGCGGCGGGTCGGACCACACCATCTAGGGGTGCGCGGCTCGGCGCGGGCGCACCGCCGCGCCGAGCTCACCGCCTCGCCTGTCCGGCCTCGGCGGACTTTTCCTGGCCGCCTCGCGTGAGCGCCGACAGACCACTGACACGCCGAAACAAATACGGCAGAGATATCGACCGCGATAGCCGCCGGCCGGCGTCAGACGAGCCTTCGCCATGCCATACGGGGCCGGCGGGGCCGGCTCCAGCCTTGGGAGGCCGACCAGCTCGGGCCGACGCCGGACTGCCACGCCATACCCAGGGCGCAGCACCGGGCCGGGGGAGATGCGAGGTCAGCAGGCCGTCTGCTGGGGCGGACGGTGGCGGCGGTGGCACCGGCTCCGTACCGGAGCCGTCCGCCGGGCCACGCGGACGTGACTGCATTGCTGCATCAGCCGTGTGCTGTGACGTCAGAGACACGTCGCGAGCCTGGCTGCACGGTCCTTGCGAAGGTGCGGCGGACGTGCATGAATATTCGGACCCTCTGTCTGCAGTGGCCTGCCATGCAAACTTCCGAACCCAGGAAAGCTCGAGTCAGCCTCAGCGCAGTTACGACGTCCCGGGCCTGTCAGGCTACTTTCACGCGGCCGAAAATGTGAAAGAAAAACGCGGAGGACATGGAGGTTCCTAGTTACTTTTGCACGGTTTAAAAAGCTTTGTGGTGTTTTCGTTATTAGTCACTGTCTCCGTGCAAAATGATTGAGTACTGTGGACCCGGAACAGAACTCCCTCGCATTGCAAGTTGTGAACGAATGAAATGACTTTAAACTGAGGTCGATCAAAGATAATATAGATGAGGCAATGAAATAAGTCCCAAACCACAAGTAAAGCTATTCTGGCAGCATTCCGATAGCGCGCTAATGCTGTCACAGAAATACTTGCTGACAGCCGCGTGTGCGGCCAGCATGTCGAAATGGACACGTCTCTTCCCAAGATCTCGCTAAATCTGGCCGGTAGTGAGCCCCACACGGGAACCTGCCGTCACCTCGCTCGGCAGGTAGTCCGGACGACGCGCCACTCACCCGGAACACGTTCTTGATGTTGTGCGCGATGTCGTGGAAGACGCTCTGCTGTCGCGGTCGGCCCTGTTTCCGCGTCAGCGTGGCGTCGCGGGTCACGTTGGTGTTCTTTACACCGGCCTCAGGGCCGTCCAGGCGGCGCTCCGACGACTTCTGGCGCTTGAGGATGCCTTTGCGGTTGGAGGAGCCGGCCGGCTTCCAGGCGGGCCTGCCGCGCGAGTGAGGCCGCTCGGGCGGCGCGTACAGCGTGCTGGACGAGGCGGAGGAGCGTGGGCTGGCCGAACGGGTCGGCCGGGCCAGCAACGAGGGCTGCGAGACGGCGCGCTTGCCGGGCAATGCGGCCGCCTCGCCCAGCGGGTCGGCCAGGTCGGGCGAGGAGCGGTGCCGCGCCGCCAGCTGGAACGGCAGGTTGGCGTAGTGCGTGAACGGCTCCTGCGGCGGCTCGCGGCCGCCGTCCGGCTGGTACAGCGACGGCTGTGAGAGCGCCCGCCGCTCCTGGATGATCGGCTGGATCGGCTCCTCGAGCGCGTGTCGCGGCCGGCCACGCGTCGCCTCGTTGGTCGCCTTGGGCGGGATGGACGGGTAGGTGAGGTCGGGCCGCTCGTTGTTGCGCGGCGCGTACTCGCGCTCACTCTTGAAGCTGCGGCTGCGTTCGGCGCTCGGCCCGCCGGCGCCGGACCAGCCGAGCGACGAGAGACGGCGCGACAATGTCGTGCTGGTCGACTTGTGCTTGGCACGCGGCAAAGAGCGGTACTTTTTCTTTTCGGCGGAGGCGCGCTCCTCCGATTCGACTGTCAGCGCCTCGTGCGACTTAGCCGTCTTCAGCTTGCTGTGCCGCGCCGGCCGCTCCAGCGACGAGAGCGACGAGGACGAGGCGCGCTCGCGCTTCTTCACCGGCGCCGGCTTCGGCTTGTCCTTGGGTTTGATGGAGAAGGTGCGCCGCAGGAAGCCCATGACGCCGTCCTTGCGCCGCTCGCCATCGGGCTTGGCGCGCGAGCGCGGCGAGCGCGGCGCGTGCTTGTCGGCGCGCCGGCCGGACCGCACCGTCGAGCCCTGCGAGCGATTGGTGAGCGTGTCCGAGAGCGAGCCTTCCGAGCCGGCGCGCCAGACGGGCGCGCGCGGCGGCGGCGAGCTCGACAGCTCGGACGGCGCACGCGCCTTGGCCGGCGACAGGCTGCGACTCGCCTCGTGCGGCCGGTAGCGGCGCGTGTGCGGCGAGTCGTCCTCCCCTGGCGACTCGCCGACCGGCTCCAGGCGCTTGGTCACGTCGGCGCTGGACGCGCGCTGCGAGCGCGACGGGGGACTGGACCGCTTGGCGGGGCGCGTCAGCGTCTGGGTCAGGCGCCGGCCGGGCGACTCGGGCGTGCGACTCGACAGCGTCGCGTGCGACTTGGTAGCGACGGTCTCGCCGTGCGCCGACGCCTCGCGCGGTGACTGCTGCCTACCGCCGCTGTCGTAGCGCCGGTGCTCGACGCCCTTCATCATGATGACGTTCGGCTGGCTCTCGTCGCCGAAGCGGATCTCCCGCTTTTTGGCAGGCTCCGGCTTGACCTGCAGCGACTTGGAGCGACGCAGCGTCAGCCGCGGCTTCCACGAGAAGAGCGAGCGCGAGTGCTTGCCGCGCGCGCGCTGGCTGCCATTCGAGCCGCGCGAGTCGGGCCGCTCGTCGCGGCTCGCGCGGGTCGAGGCGGTGCCTTGCGGCGCGCCGGCAGCGCGGCCCGGCTCGCGACGCCGCATGATCAGCGCCTTAGACGAGGTGCGCGACTCGGGCCGGCGCACCTTCGAGTGCGAGGAACGCCGCGAGCCGCCGCGCTGCCGCGACAGCCGGTCCGACGGCGCCTCACGCGAGCTGCGCGACGACGGCCGGCGCACGCCCGAGCTGCGCGACGACGGCCGGCGCGCGCCAGAGTTGCCCGAGTTGGCGCTGCTGCGCGACGCCTGCGACGCTGGCCGGCCCAGGTCGTTCTTGTAGTGTTTGCGCACCTCACGCGCCGGGAGCGAGCGCTTGGGCGGCGGCGTCTTGTACGCGTTGGGCACGACCGGCTGGGAGACGATCAGAGACGAGGTGCGTTTCACGCCGCCCGGCCGGTTACGTCCGACCGTGGCGTACTTGACGGTCGGATTCATCGAGTTGGTGTTGGAAACGTACCCGCTGGAGTTCTCCATGGGCTCTGGCGACACCTTCTGCCACATTGAAGCGCACTCGGAGGCGCAGGTGCTACTGCGTTGCCTGTTGCAACTTGCTACCTACGGTCGTATCTCACCTGGGCGTGTCTTCCCTTCGGCAGACTTGCGTTGCCAAACGACACGAGCGATTGCACAAACGGTCGGCCAACTGACTAGATCTCACTTTGGCGTCGCGCGCTCCCACGCCGCCCGCGCCGCTTGTCCTGACGCGGTCCCACGCGAGCTCCAGCGGCACTCTTCGCGTCGCCCCGCCGCCGGCGCGCAGCACGCGCCCCGCACCCCGACTGCGGCCCGGCTGGCCGACGGCTGGCGCCCAGGCGTGACGTCAGCACCCCGCGTCACGTGCCAGGCAGGGAATGACCGGCGTCGGCGACTACGTCTTCGGAGGCCAGAGCCCCGCGGCGCAGCGGCGGTGCGCCCCTCGCTGGAGCTGTTCACACCCCGGGCAGATGGCTCGCACCTGAGAGAACCCGCTGGCGGCCGCGACAGGCCGACGGGCGGCAGTCGCCTCCGCAGGTGTCGCCGGGGCTTCACCTGAGTGGCAGTCACCCGCGGAACGCCTCCCGCGCCGCGCCACCGCCGGACACCTGTCCACCCCTGGCGCGTTGGAGCGAGAGCGCAGCACTGGGCGGCGCCAGTCGCCGGTCGGCGCGCACTGCGACCTCTGCGGCCCCCGAGCTCCGTCCTCGGCCGCCCGTCTGACCAAATAGGGACCTCTCCATCACGGGTCAGAGCCGGGCGGCCTCCGCAGCGCCAACTCGGCGGCCGGCACTCAGCGCAGCGGTCATGACGCCGCCTGCCATCCACCGCCACCGCCCGGCGCCCGCCACCGGGCGCCGGCGCTGCGCTGAATGCCCGCATATATCTCCATAATTATCTTGCAATGGATACGATTATCTCGGCGTGGTTAGAAGTCGCTTCCATGGCGCGTTTACGTGCTTAAGATTGGGCGTCCTCACGGATCTGTTCGATCTGAGAAGCATGGCTGGCGGCAAGGGCAAAGTCGTCCCGCGGCGAACTCGGTGCCTGACCGGTCGTGTACATTAATGCTACGGAAACACGACTGAAACATCGCCTCTCCGCCTCCATCGTTTGCGAATTAATGGAGTGGGATATCAAATTACCATTATGATACATTCCAGGTGCGCGGAACCGATGGCTGAGACTTTATGGCCATTGCCTCACATGGTGATAATAGTGAGTTCTAAACGGGGCCCTAACGCTTTGCCACGCTAAATCTGAGCGGGCTAGGCCAGACATATGCCGGCTGATATAATTAAAGTTCGGTATTGGTAACGTCAACTGTTGCGGCAATAGTCACCCGCTCACTGCTGGACGCGTGGAGCACTTTCCGCTGCTTTGACATCTTTGGTAACCAGCCTTCACCCATTTTCTGACTTTGCTCTCTGGCGTGACGTCATTGTTGCTGATTTACATCGATGGAAAGGCTGCATTATCCCGACCGACGTATGTCTCCATAGCTGAAGATCGCTTCCAGCTCTCAGTCACTTCAGATATATAGAGATACGCACGATTGTCAGTGCTGAGCTCTGGCTTCCACAATTTAGGCCTTCGGGGCATCCATTTATTGGGTGCTATTCTGAGACATATTCCGTTCCGTTCCGGGAAATTTTCATCATAAAGTCTGTTTCACCAAACTTCAAGTAAGAGCATTCCTGTGAGCGTTCGAAAAGCTTTTGATGACAGATCTTTGTGGCGAAGTTCCGTTTTTAAATAACCTCTGTTGTACTAGACATTGTTAGCTTCCCTGGTCACGACCGCCCATTCCCTATAATTTCCATGACGCGTGTTACCTGAGTCGTGTTACGTGTTGCCATCCGGCTGGGCTTAAGACGAGCAGAGAGCTTCTACGACGGTTCGATCTTGACGGGTGTGTTCCAGTCCTAGTGCCTATTTGCCGACGAGGCTGATACGACATTTAGAACTATCGTGAAATTCACGTTTATTTTTGCACCGTCATGTTGGCACCGCGAATACCTAGCTCTTCACGTTGCTCACCGTTCCGATGACTCCGCTGTCGGGGTGTGAGTCAGCCGACTTTTATGGTCTCAACACCACTCATCCCCTGAACATGGGGGCATTACGTCGCCATCAGAGGCCGTCTCATGGCACAGCGCTGGAGTAACGCGAAATGCTGGAAAAAGGCCAGCACACTGGAGAACACAGCGAACCATGTGTAACGAGGCGGCTGTGACTAACCAGCTGTCGCGGGCAACGCGCGTCATCCGCTTTCGTGAAGAGTTCACGTCATTCGTCTTCATTCCACACCTGCGCTGACCCCGGTGACCTATGGCCTGATCTCTGGTGTACAAAGGTAACGGTCGCGGCCGACGTCTGCCCCGTCGACGAACAATGAGCATTTATCGCCGCACGTCGGAGTCATGAGTCAGCTGACGCTTATGGTCATCCCGTCACGCGGCATAAGCGCAGGCAGCCGCCGCAGCAGCAGTCTTGCCGGTCGTACTCGGTGTTCATGCCCGAATCGGGCGCCCGCGCCGTCGCGGAGCACAAACGAGCGGCGATCGAGATGCAAGATTTTCCCGGCTGAGCCGCGGCGGGGGCGGCGCCGGGTGCGGGGACCCACCTCCCGCCGCGGTCATCCCGGGCGCAGCACGACACCGGGCCCAGGTGGCGCCTCATCCGGCTGCTGGCGGCTCAGGGAGGGCGCGCCGACCCGGCCGCTTCCCGGACGAACGCGCTCCGAGCGTCCGCCCGGGCTCGCACGGCTGAGCGTCCGAACTCAGGCTGCTCCAGCGTGCGCCCTGCTGGCTCAGATGGCTCAGAGCGCGGCTGCCCTGGCTCAGACCGGACGGAGCGAGCTCAGACCGCTCCAGCGTCCGTCCCTGCTGGCTCAGATGGTTCAGAGCCCGGCTGCCCGGCCTCAGACCGGACGAAGCGAGCTCAGACCGCTCCAGCGTCCGTTCGAGCGGTCGGACATTGCTCTAAGCGCACGTCTCTTTCGCCTCAGACGGGTTTAAGTGCGCCTGTCCCGGTTCAGCCGGACTAAACCGGCGTGCGACCTCCCGGTTCAGCTGGGCCAGGTCAGACCGCGTCCGCCCGGGGTCACCTGCAGCAATGCGAGCGGTCGCGTCTCACGGGCGGACAGGCGCACTACGCGCGGATGCATATGGAACAGCCTTCAAACGCGAATGCATTGTTCTGGGCACCCGCGCCCCGTTTGCGACGGACACGTGACCAGCAGATGATTAATGGCGGCCGTCGCGCCGACCAGATTGACGCGCCTGCGTTTTGTTCTCGGCGATGGCCGCCCGCTCGCTTTTCGCAACACCGGCGCCGGGAATTAATCAGCGCCGCCGCCGCCCACCGGCCGGCCGGGAGATGACGGCACGTCGCAGCGGGGAGGCAGCTGGCATCAGAGTGTCGACATGGCCGCGTCGGCACTGCGACCGGCCCAGATCGGTCCGGCGCGCGGCTGTCGGCGCCCGTCCCGGACGCCGTCGGCCGCGCGGAGCCGGGCTTCTCCCGTCGCCGGCGCCAGGAGAGGCCGGCCAAGGGTTCTCCCCGCGGGCTGCAGTCGTCACGTGTGGCCGTGTTCTCCGCAGCAGATGCGGATGACGTGGGGGGATTACTTCGCTGTCACAGGCCGTCGTCATCCCCGATGACAAGAAGGCCATTGTTGAGACCGGGCCAGCGGGCCTCAGACGGACAAGGCCATGTTGAGACATTCACAGATCTTGGAACGAGGGCGCGTGGCAGAGCACATGCAGAACGTTTCCGTATGGCTCAAACACCGCCCGCCCGCAGTGTTTGGCGTGCCTTTAGTTAGGTACTTCCATCCCAATGTATTAATTACACTACCCACACAGTGTAACGCAACTGGCAAATAGTCGTTGCAACGCGACTGGTAAATACCATTTACAGCAGGACATATAGCGTTTACTTATTTCATGACGCCATGGGTGATAACATGATATAACCATTACTGTTTCGAAATCAGCCCTCACTCAGTGAACGGTTACTCCCTTGCCTTCGAATCGGCGCCTCACTGTAACACATATCAAAAACCTGCGATGACGAAATCCAGCAGCGAGTGAAATGGCTTAATCACCATTTCTATCACGTCGCAGCCCGACTGCCCCGCTACAGATATCCGAATTTGGTGCTGCTGCCGCTGCCCAGTGAGCCGGCCACTCCAGCTCCGCGTGCCGGCGGCGCCTCTACGTCACCTCTTCCGAGAGAACCTCGCAGCTCGCGGGAGCTGGCCCCGGCGGCGGCCGCCGATCTCGGCCGCGGCCGGCGGAGAGGCGCCCTGTAACGGCGCCGCGGCGCGTCACCGCTCCGCGGGGGCGGCGCCCCGGCGCCCCGACGTACCATCTGGCCACCGGCCGGCCGGCCGCGACGCCGCCGGTTATCGCGTCACGGTCGCGGGGACACGAGTGGCGCTTCCGCCGACGACGGCTTTGTGGGCTGCCGCCCGTTCTTCGTTGTGCTTTGCACGGTGATCTCCACGCCCGCGGTCTTCATCGTAAGTGTCCTTCTCCAACGCCGTCTGTTCTTGTTCAGCGGAGCGTAACGGGGCTGTGTCTTGCGTCCATCTGTGTCATGTATTCCCACAGCATCCAGGTCTTTATTTGGGCGCACGCGCGCACCCGGCATCAGCGTCGCTGCGCCCCCGACGAGCCAGGCTCTCTCTCTCTCTCTCTCTCTCTCTCTCTCTCTCTCTCTCTCTCTCTCTCTCTCTCTCTCTCTCTCTCTCTCTCTCTCTCTCTCTCTCTCTCTCTCTCTCTCTCTCTCTCTCTCTCTCTCCCTTCTCTCTCTCTCTCCCCTCTCTCTCTCTCTCTCTCTCTATCTCTCTCTCTCGCTCTCTCTCTCCCCTCTCTCTCTCTCTCCCTCTCTATCTCTCCCCCGCGGGCCTGTCGACCGTCTCCACACTGCAGCCGGCGCCCACCGCCGTCCGTCCACCGGCGCCCCGGGCGAGCGCCCACCGCCGTCCCCCGAAGGTCACTCGGCCACGACGCCGTCCC